TGGCAGGACTACTGTATTAATCATAATATCTACATCACCAGCATTACTAAAACCAAGATCTCTAACAGAACCCAACTTTCTTTCTGTAACAACAACCTATATACATATTACTAGGCTAACTCTGACAGTTTTATAAACTATTAAAAGTCTTAATAATTGCTTTTCAAACTAGAGCTATATAATGTATTAAAAATATTTGATCCTGAACAATTACCAGATATAGATAATAAATTATCTAATTATAGCAATGAGAAAATTAAATTTCTTGGTAATTTTTATAGAATAGAAAAGACAATAGTAAAAAGTATATCTATTACTTAACAAACAACTATTAATTACTAAATGGGAAATGGTTAAATTTTTTTCTTAAAAATTATCGATCAATTAAATTTATTAATGCATAGAGTCTTATTTTTACAAAAATATCTTTTCTTTTAGATTTTTCTATTAATTCAACTTTGGTACAGATTTCATTAATTATTCCTGTTACAAATGCTACAGTTAAAAGTATTTTTTCTCGACAAAACTTTATAAAAACTAGACTTCATAATCAAATGAATACTGATACACTTAATGTTCATTTAATGATAGTTTTAAATAGACTCACTATAGATTTATTCAATTTTGAAAAAGCTTTTGAGCATTGGTCTTTAAGAGAACATAGAATTTAAAGTTTAAAATAAAAATTTTGTTTAAAATCAATTTTTTATTTTAAAAATTAATTTTTTTTTTTTAAACTTTAGTACTAAATATTTTAATTATATTTAGTAATTTTAAATATTTAGTTAATAAACTTTTTATCTAAAACTTTTTTAATGTTTATTTGTAATTATTAAAGTAAATAGCAAATCACAAAAAAATTATAAAATTTATAAAGACACATGCAATATTTAGTTATATTTGCAGTATATAAATATTAAAATTAAATTTAAGTGCGCAAAGCACACATTAAATTTAAGATTAGGTGCACAATCCACACCTAATTTTGATGCTAAATTTTTTTCACTAGTAGGAGGGTAGGTTTGTCAGTAGGATTTGCTTCCATGATTTCTAGTGGAAGTGAAAATTGAATTCTGTAGTAGGGGTGATTTGACTAAGGAATTCTCTTGCTACTGTGTCATCTGTTATAGAATAGGTAAATGTTGTTTTAGTTTTTATTTTACTACAGTCAACTCTCTCTATAATTACATATTTTGTTACTTAATAACTTTTTTAAAAAATGTGCTTATAAAGAGGTTGTGCTTATATAGAGATAGTTTTTTATATGTTTATAGTAATTTGTATTTGAGTATAGAATATGATAAAGAGAAGTTTTTATATAATATGATTATAGAGGGGTAACTGTAAAAGGAGATAACTGTAGTATTTTTTGTAAGAGAGACTTTGTAACAAAATAATCATTGGGGAGTAATTGAAGATGTAGTATTCTCTGAGCTAGGTGATAACCTCAGTAAATGGGTTGGCTGAGATAGCTAAGTTAAATAGGAAGAATTTGCAGACTCTGTAGTTAAGTTTCTGATAAGTAGTAGAGAGGGGTTTTTTGGGGGGTAGTAGATTGAAATAGGAGTTAGGGATCTGGGTTACAATATAGAAGTCTGCTAGTTTTCTCTTATATACTACAAGGTGCTGAAGTGAGAATCAGTGAGCAATTGGGAATAGTTAATGCAGACTAGATATAAGTTTATTGTAGTGTAGGAGTAGTAAAGAAAGCTTGGCAAAATATGCCTCTAGAAGTTCAGAGAATTTAAATACTCTTCTCAAGGCATTTACAACTGCTTTGGTGTATAATTTTTGAGTAAATAGTAGTTTAAAGAGTAGGATTTTACAAATTTCTTTAGATATCTGATCTAGAAAATCTGGTAGTGAGATAAGTTTATTTTTAATTACTTTGTTAATTTGTATCTTGATTTCTTTGTCTATGTTGTTATTTGAGTTCTTAATTTGTAGAAAGCCTCTGGCATATATGATAGCTCTGACAATAAGTCTGGGGGTGTTTGGTTTAAATTAATATTTGTGAGGTATTGCAAAATGAGTATCTTTCTAAGCATAGTGTGAATTGTGTTGTGGGTTGTAGTATTAGTTAATATAATTTCATTTTCTTTTTTGTATATTGCTAGAGCATTGTCAAAGAGATTAGTATAAGTAGTGGAGTCAATAGAAAAGTGACAAATCATTTTTAGTACAATTTTTTTAATTTTTAAATTAAAATATCTCAACAACTAATTAATCAAATTTGCTAAT